CCTGTGCCCCCACGGTGATGGGCTGCCGCAGGAGCACCCAGCTCTCACAGGCAGCGCTGTGATTGGCTGCAGAGGGTGCGCCCAGCTCTCCCAGGCGGTTGTGTGCAGCCAGCACATCCCTCCCTTTGCACCTGTCCGTCCTTTCGTGTGTGTGTCCCGGGAGTAATCCCGGTAGGAAAAAGGCCACGTGGACGGAAAGCAGCAGAATCTGTCAGCCCTGCACGTGGGCAACGGTGAACAAATTGTCCCATAGGCCACACAGAGCCCTGATGGGCCCCAAATTGCCCACCACTGGCCTAGATGGACACAACGGCCCTGGACGCTCTGGCCCAGGGGAGATGTTGGAGCCAGGTTGAAGCAAGAGGCAAGTGCACAGGGTGGGTGGTGGAGTCGTGGTGTGTGAGGTGGGGGGGTAAGACATTCATCCCACTTGCGGTGCCTGTCGGCTGGGCAGGGAGGGCGTGTCGACACTGCTGTTATTTCGAAATAATAAGCGGAGCGGCCACACCATCCAGCCTGTTCTTTCGAAATAACAGCTCCTGCTTGCGATGGGGAAGAGCCTGAAAGACACCCTGAAGTGATAGCTGCCCGCTCACCCAGTACGGTGAGGCCCCTTTGGCTGACACTCTCGAGTCACTTTTGTATCGTTGCAAATGTTGCCACCTCGCAGTTTCTCTCTTTATTGATGTGTGATGCCACGTGTCTAAAGAGAGGAACTTGGCTACCCAAAGGGGAACTTGGCTGCCCCTCTCAAGTTTTTTGAGTGAGGTAGGTTCTTATTTTTGCTCAGTCTCAGGTAGCACCCAGGTCCCTCCTGCTTCACAGCTGGACCAAGCATGAGCTCCTGTCAGCCCTTGCAGCCTTTTATAGGGGCCTGCCTGGCCCTGATTGGCTGACTGCTCCCTGCCCTGATTGGCCAGGGTTCCACAAGTCTCCTCTGGCTCACCTGTAACCCTCTCCCTGCTGGAGTGGATGACAGCACCACTACACCTCAGCATGGGTTAAGTGCAAATTGATGCTGAATGAATTTTCTGTGGAGTTAAGGGTCACAGAACTAGCCCCATCTGGGCAGAGGTTTGAACCAGGCACCGTGACCCGATGAGGGCGGGAGACACGAGATCACAGAGAAACAGGCCCGGACGGAGAGAAAGGGGGAGGCAGGAAAGCCGAGGAGACTGTACATGCAGAAAAATACAGAGAGAGATGTTTAGGGTTGGCTAAAGAGGGTTTGGGGTGGGGGACTGTACGCTAAGAAATGGCTTTTTTGCGTCTTGATTCCCTCTGATGTTCAGAGCCAGGACTTTGTACATTCCTGGGCAATCAACAAGGCGACATCGAAGAAAATCCAACACTCCATCAATGTCTGTCTCCCTGGAACCTCCCCAGAGCTTGGGTCAAAAAGGGGCCATGATATTTATCATGCAAGGCAGGCCCGGGTGTCTGCTGTGCACCTTTGCATGGGTGTTTGCACTGTGCAAGGCCCTGCTAGACCCCGGAGTCAAAGACGGCACAAGGCGGGGGCCGTCTGGCACACTGCCAGTGCTCTAGAGAGAGCCAGATTCTGCTCCCAATCGCAGTGTAAACCCAAGTGATGTCATCATGGGCCGGGCGCTATTCGGGGATTCTGGAATCCAGGCGGCCGGAGGCTCTCGGCTTCTGTTTCAAGAACGACCGTTTCCAGCTATCGGATCTGTGCCCAGAAAACGGAGGCCTTGAGAGCCCCGAAGCCCCCCCGCCCGATCCATTTTAAAATCAAGATCTCGTGGCTTTTAAGAGGCCGGCAGGATTTTGAGGAGCCGACTTGTGGTTTTGTGCCGCTTGAGGCGGCAGGAGTGTTATTACTGCCCCCAAACTGAGATCAGAGCAGGATCCATCTTTGCAGAGATGCCGACTACAAAATGCTTTAGCGGCTCGGTGAGTTTTTCAAGGCAGAGGGGCTAGCTCTGCTTTTAAAAGAGGGGTCGGCACGTGAGTGGAGTAGGCACTGGTTGGCGACTCAGGACCCCTGGGTTCTGCTCCTGCCCCACGGCGTGAGCATGGCCCGACTCCCTCCCCCACTTCTCATCACTTAGAGGAGGAACTTCCCCGAAGACTGTGGGAGTGGTGCTCCCGAACTGCCTCCGGCGCCCGAGCGCTCCAGCTATTTCCAGTCACAGGCAGTGTATTGATCACAGCCGGAGAGGGGGAATTGTCATCTCAAAAAAGACACATTGGCATTGGAAACGATTCAGAAAAGGGCAACAAAAACGAGGAGGGGTTTGGAACAGGTCCCACGTGCAGAGAGATTAACAAGACTTGGATTTTTCAGTTTCGAAAAGAGGAGACTAAGCGGGCAGGGGGCGGGGCATGAGAGAGGTCTATAAAATCATGACAGGTGTGGAAAAAGTGAATAAGGAAAAGTTATTGACTTGTTCCCATAATATAAGCACGAGGGGTCACCCAATGAAATGAACAGGCAGCAGGTTTAAAACAAACCAAAGGACGTTTTTCTTCACTCAGCGCACAGTCAACCTGTGGAACTCCTCGCCAGAGGAGGTTGTGAAGACTAAGACTTTAACAGGGTTCAAAAAAGAGCTCATTAAATTCATGGAGGTGAGGTCTATCAATGGCTATTAGCCAGGATGGTAGGAATGGTGTCCCTAGTCTCTGTTTTTCCCAGGCTGGGAAGAGATGACAGGGGAGGGATCACTGGAAAATTCCCTGTTCTGTTCCCTCCCTCTGGGGCACCTGGCCTTGGCCACTGTGGGCAGACAGGACACTGGGCTAGATGGACCTTTGCTCTGACGCGGTCTGGCTGCTCTTATGTTTTCCTCTGTTGTGGGGGGCACCTGGGCAGATCTCTCCTAAGCGGGCCCCTCTTGTTTGCTGGCTGCAGGGCACAAGGGCTTTGCCTCCTGGGACGCTTTTTGCCTGTCCTGAGTTACCAGGCTGAGTGTGGGGGGAATTGAATGGCCTGAGTTGAATGGATCTGCCGGCCGCCTCCTCTCTGAATCGACCCACGAGCCGCTGTTGCAAAAACTCACCCGCCAAGGCTGCGCGTCCATCGCTCCCGCGGGGCATTGGTCCCGGGGGGATCTCGCGGGGTCAGCTGGCGGCTGGCATGTCCCCAAGCCCCGTCGCGCCAGCCCTGGCCCGGCACAGCCTGGCGCTCGGTCCGCCCACACCGGGTGTTTGCAAGGACTGGCTGTGATAAGCAGCGGGGCCTGTAGAGGCAGCTGCTTTGCCCAGTGGGAGAGAGAGCTGGGTGGACGAAGGAGGAGGGGATGTTTGTGGGTGGCGCTGAAGGGAAACAGACAGGGACTGCTGGGCGGGGCGGGGGGCCACAGGGACATGACCTGCCCCCTTTGATCCTATTGCTGCTGCACCCAAGAGGGCTCAGAGTTGCTGTTCATCATCGGGGTCAGATGGGGGAGCAACATCTTTGGGGGAGGTGCAGCCCCCCTCCCCACCATGAATTTTAGGGCAGAGAGTCTCCCTCGGTGACTCCTGCATTGGGGCATTCTCCCTGCTCCCCCACAATTCCTCCCTTCGTTTCCGCCCCCTTGTCTCTTCCCCATCTCCCAGGGCTGCTGTCCTCCAGGAGGTGCTGGATCCAGAGCTGGCTGCAGTTTGGGGAGGGGGCAGAACTCCCCCCACCCCGTCACGGGGCGGGCGGCTGAGCTTGCAGCTGAGCCAGAACTCAGGAAGGTGGGCTCCATTTCCCCCTTTTAGCAGCAAGACTCAACCGTAAGTGTGGCTGGATGCAAGACGAGGAGCGTGTGGCTGGTAAAGCTAACGTAGACCGGGCCTTGGACTGAAAAAAGGCCTTCCCCACTGCCTTGTGCTCTGGTTTGCCTCCATCACACCCTAAATTATGCCAGGACAATTTCCCTGGGGAGACTCGGTCTCACTTACCAGGCAAAATGTATGAAAACCAGATTGAAATTGATGGAGCGTGTCCACACACAAAGGCCGTATTGAATGAGGTTAAAAAGGAGGATAGGACAGAGGTCTATACAGTCATGGCTGGTACGGAGAAAATAAATAAGTGTTATTTACTCCTTCTCATAACACCAAATTAATTAATAGGCAGCAGATTTAAACAGACAAAAAACAGAAGGGTTTCATCACACAGTCAACCTGTGGAACTCCTTGCCAGAGGATGGTATAAAGGACAAGACTACTACAGGGTTCAAAAAAGAGTTTGATACATTCATGGTGTACAGGTCTATCAATGGCTATTAGCCAAAATGGACAGGGATGGGGTCCCTAGTCTGTTTGTCAGAAGATGGGAATGGTCGACGGGATGGATCACTGGATGAGTCCCTGTTCTGTTTCCTCCCTCTGGGGCACCTGGCATTGGCCACTATCAGAGGACAGGACACTGGACTAGATGGACCTTTGCTCTGACCCAGTAGGGCCTTATGTTATGTTCTTACCAAGTTCCATATTTTACGGTTTTGTTAGATCAAAAGTGCAAATGTGTCCCGGGGGGGCATTCTTTCGGGTGACTGTGGGACGCACGCTGCCTCTGGGCAGTATGAAAATTGGTGACAGGAGGGAATTAAAACCCCGATCTAAGGATTCAGCCTTTGAAGCGTTGCCTTGGGTAGGGCAGGGAGGGATACACCTTTTGTCTGCCTGTGATGTGAGGGCAGATCAAAGTGTCACGGGGGACAGGCGTATCAGAAGTGCTCCTGCATGGCTTGCTTGGAGCAGAAGCTGTGAGGGCAGCCAGACCCATTGCCGGGGTTGGGGGCGGGAGGGAAGTCTCTGGAAACATGGTTGTGATTCGTTTTCCCTGGAATGCTTTTATCTTAGGACTCCATGTGCTTGCTTAGCAAGGGGGCAGCACCTGGCATTGCCTTACCAGCGATCTCGGAGCAGAGCGGGAAAGCAGGCTGCACTAGGCAGGCGGGCTTGGGCAACTCACAGCTTAGGCAGGGAGCAGTGAAGCCGGTCGGGTCTGCACCCAGGAGAGGGGAGGGCTGAGAAGCCGGGGTCTGCACTTGCTGGAGCGTGCCCTGCATGGTGACTGTTTACGCACGTGTGAGCAGGGAAGGGTGAGGACGGGAAGAGGGTTTATCCGGACCTGCTGACTCATGTTGACACTTCAGGAAGGTGCCTCGTGAGCCACTATGCAGGGGGAAGCAAGCGCCTTTTCAGCTGGCTGAAGCCACCTGTTTTGCTAACCTGATGCAACTCCAGGTCAGGAGGATGTGGGTGCAGGGTGATAGCCAAGGGGTCAGTTCCCTGCTCTGCCTCAGATTTCCTGGGTGAGTCTGTTAGTCTGTGCCTCAGTTTCCCCATCCATGCGAGGGGAGTCAGAGCAGGGCCCTGCCTCATAAGCGCATTGGTGAGGAGCAGCACACCCCAGATTGTGAGCTGCTGGAGAAGCAGGGGAGTGCCTAAGGCAGGGGTGGGGAACCTAAGACCTGGGGGCCAGCTGCGTCCCCTGGCTTGCCTGGATCCGGCCCCCAACATTGGGGAAGCCCGTGCTGGTGCTCCAACCCCCCTGCCACCAACCCACAGGGCTGGAGCACACAAAATCTAGGGGCCTGGGCCCTCCTAGGCCCTGATGTGCGAGGGGAAAGTGGGGAGCGTTTTTCTCCTTCTCCGTCAGAGGCTTCTCATTTGTGTGAGGCCCCCGAGGGATTTTTCTGTGGGTCAGCGGCCCCTGACCCAAAAAAGCGTCTGTCCTCTCAGCTGAGGTAAGACCTTGCACCGATTCACTAAACTGGGTTTAAAATACCGACTAGACTGGCACCTATTTCTCCGGAAGGAACGAGGGCTTTGGCTGTTGATCCGCAGAAAGGAAAATTCAGCCAATAGCTTTGAGGGTTTTTTTTTAAGACGGAGCCAACTGTTTACTGTTCCGGCAAAGCAGCGCAGAGCGCTCTTATCTGGATGCGCGTCTGGTGAGCCATTTTCCAATCTCTCGCTGATCAAGGCCATTGTGAGCCGGCGTTATCGAAGAGACGCCTCATTAAACCTCATAAGAGCGAAAATGTGTAAGCGGCGTCAACCGAAAATTGTGGCCCTGAGTATACAGAGGCTAAAGAAATGGGTTTGGGAGCCGAACGGGCGTGCGGCACACGTGGGGTGAACCAGAAAGTCGGGCCCAGGTCCCGACATGATCCACTCAGTGCTTGTAGCCCCCGGGTGGAGTGGCGCCAGATTTACGCCGGCCTGGGTGAATGCGGTTTGAGGGCACTGCCGTTCCTTTTCTCCTCCCAGCGCTTTTCAGCTGTGAGAACTCTCCAGCGACTGAGTTAACGCCTCCTGTCGCTGAACAAATATTTGTTACTGAATAAAAATAATACACCCTGGAGTGGGGAGAAATTTCCCAAGGGTGTTTAAAGGTAACTGCTCTGTCGTCTGCTTGTATTGTGCTAGCCCCTAGGGGTGCCAGACTGGGGGGGTCAACAGCCCCCCCTGCCAGGCCCTGTACATAATGAAAAGATGATCTGATTTATGCTTGGTTACACCCGCTGGGGATCTGGCCCCATTGATCAGCTGGGACAAGGGTTCTCAGACTTTTTTTCCTGGGCCCTTTTTTGAACATATTTCAGGCTGTGATGTCACCCCTTCTACATCATACCACCCTTACTCCTGGTGGCAGCACAGCCTTCAAAACGGGGTGCCCCCCCATAGTCTCGCAACCCCCTTTTGGGTCAGGACCCCCGATTGGAGAATGGCTGGTTTAGAACCTCCCAAACACTTGCGGTTGCTCACGGGGTTGGCTGAAGTGCCCTTGTATCCCACTGCTGGGACAAACAGTTTTTTTCCCCATGAAAAACAATGGTAAGGTGGCAAACCAGATAAGCCTTCCACAGCTGGGCGCTTTCCCACAGCCCCAGCACCAGAGAAGGAAGCCGCAGTCTCCTTCTCCGTCTCCCTCTTTTAGATACCTCTGAATCACAGAGGGGCAGTTAAATTGGAGTTAGTGGGGCCAAATCCCCAATGGAGTCAATGGGGCTACGCTGATTTACACCACTGGAGGCTGCCCCGGCCTCCTCTCCTGCGCCCCCATCCCTGCCCTTTGGCCGTAATACTACCGGCTTTCTGAGCTCTCCACAGGGACGGTCACTGGGGGAAGGCAAGGGGCAATTCCAGAGGGCTCACAATGTCACTTGGCCTCGGTAGGGTGTGGGGTGGTGCCCCCTGCTCAGCCAGAG